TGAAAAAAGTGACTTTTGACCATTTTCACACTTAGCGACCGTTGCAGCATCCTCATGGTCACGTGATCAAAATGTTGATGTTTGGCAAGAGTTACAATTTATATTATGCTGAAATAAAAAAAATATTACAATACTATTTTTGCATTGTGTGAAATTTTTTGTTGCTCCGTATAAAATTTTTAATCAAGCCCCCCCCCCCCCTTGGTCAAAGGTGTCCCTCTTTACCAATCTGAAAATCTGGTCACCTTATTCAAAAGGGAATAAGCCTGTTGGATGAGAATCTAAAGACTAAATTAGAACGGCATACAGAAAACTAGGGACTACCTGCTACATACTTTATTCCATGCTGCTGCCATTGGAAAAATATGCAGGTGCTGATATATAGGCATTTATTTTCCACTTACCTTCAGATCTTTTCATTAAGGCTTCTTCTGAAGCACGATCTTCTATTTTTTGTATATCATCTACAGTTGACTCTAGTTCTACAGTTAAATGTCTTCTTTGCTCATTTAGTTCTTGTAGTGTATGTGCTAAAAATAATTTCAGGCAAAATCAAAACAATAATATATATTCTGGAATAGCTACCTTAAGCGTAACTGCACACAATATTATTTAGCTATTTTATTCTAAATGGATTTATATAATACTTTCTGAATAATATCTGATTTATACATTTTTAACCAATTTATATAACAGCATAAATAATGATTCAATAATTTATTTTACATCTGTGGAAGCCACTTCAATTAAATATCAATATTTAAATTTTGTATAGGTATTATTACCAAAAGAATACATATTTTTATAAACAGAGATGTCTTTTCAAAACTCCAGCTTCCAAAATAATTAACTCCATCTTTTGAACCATCCAAAAACAAGCAGTCATCTCTGTAGGCATTCACATAAGTACTGTAGTTCAAGATATTGTCAGAAATGATGTGAGATCTGTTTGCTTATTACCCTTATTCAGTTATGTTTTTGAGCAATATAATTGCTCAAAGAATTAAATAATCCTGCTGCTATTTTAGTACAATTATCTTAAAATCATTATTTTGTTTCATTCGTACTTAATATTTTTATACACCAATTAATAATTTCCTGCATTTTTGAGAAAACAACTGCTGATTTTATTATTCTGCAATATTTGAAAAATTATAGAATGCAAGGTTGCAATCTTATGGAAATTATATAACCTACGAAAACAGCATCCCTCACAGATGACTAAGGCAAAATGTTCCATTATAGATAGCTTTATCATCAGAATTTTTTATGATGTCCATCGCTCACTTGTGATTTCAGCCCATTATTTCTTATGCTGAAAACCTCTGAACAACATTGCTCCACTTTTTATATGATAATACTTTGGCTACTTGAAGGTAACTATTTGTTCCTTTCTACATTCCTATTTTCCCAACTAAACAGATCCAACACAACTAAATATTTCTAATCATTTTTTCTTTCCAATTCCATTTTGATCCTGGTTGCTAGATTGATTTACATGTATTAGGAAATATAGGCAGTGAACTAATCTCAAGATTCATTATAGAAGATTTGAGGTGATTTTTTTCCACATTCAAAATGTTTAATCAAAACAGCAACTAAACAGGCACTGCCACTAAAAATAAGGCATAGCAATTTTTGTATACACTACAATCTTAAATAATTGCCCATTTTATAATACACTCCTAAGTGAAATACGACGCTATACATAAAATTTGAATAATCAAGAAATGGGAGAAGGAGATGGACCACAAAATAAAATCTAATTCCATAATTTTCCAATTTCTAAGAAGAGTTAAATGTGGACTGGAAATAAAAGCCATTAAAATTTTATTTTTAAAATAATAACAGTTGCAACTAAAGTTGATTAATTCAATTTGCACTCACTGAATATTTTTCTCTAATAATATAAATTGTCTTATTCCAGAAAACATCAAAATTGTGTTTCAAGTCTGTTTGCCTAGGTTTCCATTATACATGTTTGACATCAGTTGATAACATCTCTTTTATTTAAATATCTAGAGAACAGATAACTGTTAAAGAAAAAACATCAAAGCTAAACATATTTCTCTAAAAGTAGTAAAATTTGGTTACATTATTTGTAAGCTTCACCCACAAATCAACCAAGTACCTTCTTAAGAGATATGATTTTCCGAGTAGCACAGTTTTTTGCAGTTCTGCTGGTATTATTGAAGGAAGCTGTAATTTCTTGATGTACTTTAAAATTCTTGGACATGGTACCAAGCACCTCAATGACAATCGGTATCACTGTTACATGTTTCATCCATAATCACAAAGTTTTGATGGCCAGATCACAATATTTTCTGATTTTTTCCAGTTCTTTTTCTTCAACTCTGGCGTCTCCTGGTACTGCAATATCAATAAATTGTATTTTTTGGTTTTTGACAACTGTGATATCTGGCATGCTGTGTTCCAAATGATGATCCATCTGTATTATTATTATACAATTGTATCACAGCGGCCAGTTGTTTCGCTGAATTTGGCATTGGTTACTTGTCGGGCCCCAACCAGGGGCCTAGGACGTCATAACGTATTTTCCTAATATGCGTGCAGATCCAAGCAGTGCGGCTTTTTGCATTTGA